CAGCAGTCAGGAGATATGTGATCTTAAGTGTATGAATTAATGAAAACCAAACAAATTAATAAAAGAGTTTTTAAAATATACATGTTGAAAGTAAGAGGAAGCATGTTCCTCTAAATCTTTGTTCTCATTGGCCTAATCCTTCAAAGACTTGTCAGAAAAAATGACTACATCTACCAGACTTCTAAAATTCCATTACAATTCCCCTGTGCCTATTCATTTGTTTTATTTATTTATTTTGCATCATTTGTAGGCCACCTTTTTCCTGGTGAGGAGACCCAAAGCAGTTCATAATGCTAAAACAAGTTATATTAAAAACTAAAAACATAATAAATTACAGCAACTATAGAACAAAATAACTGAATCATTATATAATGAAGGAGTACTGAAGTGGAAATATCTGTGTTGTATTTCACTTTGCAAAACACAGAAAGTTTCTAGAGGTCTATTTTCATTGTAGCCCTGCAGGATTATTCCTAGCTGAGTGGCACATGAGACATATTCTGCAGGTCATTTAGTGAATATTATTTCTGGGGAATTTTAAAATCATTGATTAATGACATCCTGACCTGTTATGCTAGGCAGGAGTTGTTCTAGTCAACTCCGCAGCTGGTATGTGCACTGCTTTGCGATGTCTATGTTTCAGGAACAATAAATGCATTGCAATTCATTCTGAATTGTTCACTTTCTTCATGGGATGAAATTGAGTTATATGTACTGTGTAAGCAAAGTTTTCGCGGTGCTAGAAGAGATCAGAGTTGGCTGAGAGTTGCTTCTTGTCCACCCTCCTTACCTATCCTCCCAAGTTTAATCTTGCCTCATCCAATGCCTCTGGCAAGTGTTAACAAAATAAATCTTGTCTGTGCTAGTCTGGATTTCCCCTTCCAGCTTCTCTTGGAAAGTGTAACATAATCGTCTCTGAAGGGTAACAGGAGGTATCAAATGCTTCTGCTTGGGGCCGATCCAAAAAATTGTAATTGCTAGTCTGAATATAAACAGCATGATTTGGCTCTCAGTGACTTCAAGTTTGAAAGTTTGGGCACAGTCCAGAGAAAGGCACATGTCGCTCCCTCTCTGGAGATCTGTAGGACTTTAATGCTAAGAATCTTAAGCATGGTTACTTTAAGTAAGTTCTGTAGCAAATGTCTTCTTATGAAGCTCTTGCAATGACTTCTGTCCCCAGTGTTTCCCTGGTGAAGTACTTAATGGCCAGAATCCTACTCTTGATTTATGTTTGCATAAGAGAAATTCTTATGGGATGTGGTGGCGCTGCGGGTTAAACCACAGAAGTCTGTGCTGCAGGGTCAGAAGACCAAGCAGTCGTAAGATCGAATCCACGCGATGGAGTGAGCTCCTGTCGCTTGTCCCAGCTCCCGCCAACCTAGCGGTTCGAAAGCATGCAAATGCAAGTAGATAAATAGGGACCACTTTGGTGGGAAGGTAACAGCGTTCAGTGTCTAAGTCGCACTGGCCAGGTGACCACGGAAGATTGTCTTCGGACAAAACGCTGGCTCTATGGCTTGGAAACGGGGTTGAGCACCGACCCCTAGAGCCGAACACGACTGGACAAAAATTGTCAAGGTAAACCTTTACCTTTTTAAGAGAAATTCTGCAAGTTGTGAAATTGTCAAGGGGAACCTTTAACTTTTTAAGAGAAATTCTGCAAGTTGTAGTGACAAACTCATAAACAAGGTTCTGGTTGCATTCCTGGGCACACAATACCTGTCATTCCAATAGTTGATGCAGTGTTATTAGGCTTCACTCAAGGTGGACTGTTAGACTCACTGAGGACTGGTATGGAAACTAGGTTCTCAGTCACAAGCAATCGAAGCCTTTCCCTATAAATTCAAAACTGTGCCACATCGAAGGACAAGAGGCAGGCTTCAGGGGCTTAAGATTGACCTCCATCCCCCCCCAACAAATTTGCCTTCCAGACCCCCTCACTGCTTACTTTTAACATCTCAGCTGTTGAAGTGACAATGTTTGTGTATTTATTATGTATCTCTGTGTACTTTATGTGCCTTTGTTTGAAAGTATCACTTCAATATAGAGCTTGGATTTTTTTTTTCATGCCAGCCTGACTATCTCTGCTTTCATTTGTGGCTGTTTCCTATCCACAGTATCTTCACTATAAGTTTATCCTTAAATTCATATTGTCCCCTGATGTATTTACATTAGAAAAGGAGGAATCAGAGTTAGAAATAAGCTCAAATGTGCCAGACAAGAACAGCGGTTCCATCTTGCTCACCTCACTTTCACACAGGAATGATATTGTGTAAATACAATTCTGTGGTGGGTAGAGTGGAAAGATTTATGCAATTCCAATTTAGGATTCCTTGGAGAAGCATAAAGTTCTGTATAAAATATGTAGTCAGCAACAGCAGATAACTAAAAGACTGTGAAATTGCTGACCGCTGGGCATTTAGGGCTGGTTATCTTAGCAGAACTTAATTATAACCTGAAATTATCTGTTCAGATATGTTATGCAAACAGGTTCTCAGGGCTGAGGTAAAATTATCTGGAATGTCAATGTTGCATCCTTAGACCTCCATTTCCAAAAGTATTTTGTGTTACATGGAATGAATATGGCAGTTGCCAACCTACTATAACAAGTATGTACCTCTCATTTATTTCAGTGACAGATATCTGTAGACTTGTGTCTGAGTTAGGAACAATGGGAAGTCACTACTTCCTTTTATGAGAAAGTACCATGTCAAGCTCTTCTTTCCTACTTTGTGCTATTAAGGGAGGAAATCCATATAAATCTCCTTCTGTAGAAACAAGCTCCAGTTAGTTCATTTGTAGGTCCACGTATTAGAAACAGTGATTAATTAATCTATAGTTAGTTAAAGCAGAATCAAGACATGGCTTCTGGTCCTGGTCTATTATGCTATGGCTGAATACATCATACTCTCCTCTGTTTGGGTCTACTAGTAAATGCAAATGCAAACTACATATGGAAACTTTAAATGTGTACTTCCCCACTGATCTACCAGATAGTCTCCTGTGATTTCATTTGTGATGGTGGTGTTTAGTATGCATTCTGCCTGCCTATTCAACCTTTTTTCATTAGGAAAAAAAATCCTACTTCAACAAATTCCCACTAGAGATGGGCATGAACTATTGGCTTGGCATTTCAGGCACACCACAGTTCCACTGGCATCCTAAATTCTCACCCACCCCTCCTCCAGTGGGCGACCATTCAGAGGCAGCAGTGTGGCTTCCCAACCCTGTCTCCTTCAGCAAGTGCCCACTATGTGAAAGGAGCTATGCAGCCTTCTTGCACATTGTGTGTCAGAGGTGCTATGGTCTGTGTTCTGAGACATCATCATGTTCTGTAGTTGCTATATATTGACTGGATGCTTTCCTTGAATTGAACAAGTGTTATTCGTAAGGGGTAGAGTCCTTGGGGATTCAGGGCAATTTTCAGAAATTCTGGTGAAGCAGCAGCAGCAGGTGCTGCTGCTATATGAACTTCTTTTGTTGCTTGGTTGGTTTGTTCCTGGAGTGCATAGGCTTCCCATCCCAATTAATTGTATACTTGTGAAAGCCCTAATGTAGCAGCATTCTCACTGGTGATCAGGACAAGGTTATTCTGTTTACTTGCCTCACAGTGCTTTATATTACATGCTTTTAATGTGGGTGTATGTGTGCAGATATATGCACAATGCTACAATGAGTAGTTCTTAGGAAAATCATTTCAGTTGTTTGGAGCTGCACAGTGAACAATAATCTTTTCTGTGAAATGGAGAACAAGCAAACCAAAGACCAAATATGACAAAAGGTCATTTGGAATGCATTTCTGTATAGAATATGACACAGCTGGTGTGAACCGTGTTCCATTTGCAATATGTACCAGCCTTCTCAGTGGCTGTTACTAAAGCTAGACATTTATAATGTAATATTTTACATTGTATTTATTTTATACTGTAAAATACTTTGCTACATGAAGAAACATGCCAAGGAGTTTCTTACTCATATGAACCTTGCTTTCTATGTTCTCTTTGTCATACATTTCTTGTTGGTACACATGGTTGTCAGGGTTGCAGTGGGAGTGTTTACTTCATTTTTGGGTGCAAGGAACTACAAATCATAAATTCACATGAGCTTTAGTGTAGTGGTGTTTGTAGTTGAGTATGAGTAATTATATTCTTTGGCCTGACATAATCCCCTGGCATTTATGCCACATATAATATTATGTGGGTCACTGACAAAGCTGTGCAATCTATCCATTTGTTTCCTTTAAACATGATGGCATTAGATGAAAACTATAATTCAAGTCCATCTATTTTTTTAAAAAAAGTTTCTTTTGTATTTAAAAATTGTGAACTTGATAGAGCTATGAACTTTTAACCTGTCTGAAGTGTCAGCATATACTCCTTGGTTTCCTGCTGCAAAGATGCTGAAAATTGCAAGAAAGAAATCGAAGAAAATTACTATCAAGTGCTCCAAGCCTATGAATATTCCACTCCTTTAAGGTCTTAGCCCTGCTCCAAAGTCCATCCAGCAGGTGAGGGCAATAAGCTAGCTACACAATAGACCACAGATCTTGCAGACATATCTTCCATCCTGCAAAGTTTCCTCACCAAAGTCACTTTGCATATATCTTCTTCAAAATGTTCCAGCTAGTCCTGACTTTTTTTTTTAAACCATGGAAGTAAAAAAGAGGCATTGGGGCTGTTATTTCAAAGAACAAAAACGGAGAAACCTCTCCAGACATTCTGGAACTGGGTAGCAGTGTGTCATATCAAAAACCTAGAGAGATTGCATTTCCTCTCCTTTCCAACCTGTCATTACCTGTTTCTGCAAGTTACTTCCCATTCCCTGCATGGTAACAAAGAAAGACCCTTCTTCAACAATGTCATGTGGAGGGTCTTTCCTTGTTACCAATGCCAGTTTCTTGGATGTATTTGTTGCTGTTTTTAAAAGGGATTGATATAGGCACTTTCCAGCATATAACTTGTGAGAAAGACTTTAAAAACCACTTTTTTTAAAAAAAACAGGTTCTGTGAGACTGAGAGGTGACCAAAATGAGTTTGAAGGCACAGTTGAAGTATATTTGAATGGAATATGGGGAATGATCTGCAGTAATGACTGGGATGACACTGATGCATCAGTGATATGCAAACAACTTGAACTGGGGTAAGTGAATTAGCATTTACATGGTTTATTTATTGTACATGGATTTTTACATGGATTATTTACTGTAAACTCGGAAGGATTTCATGGTGTGGAAACGAAATGATGACTCAGTCAAAATTGCATATAATCATATTGCATTGACTTGAAATAATGGTGTGACTAAAATTCTAGATGACTAGAGAAAATATTTCTTTTTGAATATTTAAGGGCAGTTAAGAATTTAAGAATGTTTAGGCATAAAACCAGTGGTTACCAAATTTCTCTTAGTAATTAAGTTACCAGAACTTTTAAATATTTCAGCTATAATCTGAAAAGTAGACTCTGTGAGGGGGTCTCAAAAACTTCCACTTCTGGTTTCCCTTTAAATCAAACACATTTCTGACTCTTTAGACTGAAGGGTTTCAGGGGTAGCTTGAAAGTCTGTGTTCAGCTGCTGGAGTCTCAAATAGATTCTTCAGCAATCCTCCTTTAGCATTCTCTACAGTTCCTTGCCCTTTTTCTGTGCCCTTTGCACACTTGCTATTTGTCTCTATACAGTGCTGTTCTTAGAGGTTCATTTCAAAGATTCAGAAAAGTGTAAGATGCTATTGGAAGTAGAGACATCTAATAAATCAATTGACCCAATACTGCAGTTTTGCATGCTTGATATACTTTCCATACAGAAATAATTTCCGTATAAGAATGTGCATACAGATAGTCGTAATCATGCATAGTCAAGCAGTATACAAATGTATGTGATATTTTTATATTGCATATCTCTTTAAGTAAATTTCATCCAAAGCACATGAAGCACTTACACCCTTATAAAAATGACAGTCTATCCTTGGGCTGCCTACAATTTCCTGCTTGGACATGACTAAAATGGAAAATTGTTATCGTGTAAGATAGAAGCAGTCTTCTAATTCGCTGTTTAAACAGAAGTGGTTGCTCATATGCAAACTGTAATTTAATCAGCAGCCTTGACTAGTGGATAATTTAAGTCAGAATTGTATCCACTAATAACTGTCTGAACTGAGGAGAAAATGACTATTCTGGTTGCGCTGCGTAGTGCTTTCACAATAGGAATAGAATCTGAGACCAAAGAAGGCACTGAAATCTCTGAGGTAGGATGAAAGACAACAATGTTGAAACTTAAGGTACGAAAGGTTATTTTTCAAAGGCTGTTATTTAACTGAGGACTTGATAACACCTGTCAAATGAATCCCAGTTATACTGATTTGGCTGGGTTTTTTTAGATTGTTTCATAATTTTCTGAACATTGATTCATTTTCCTGGCCAGCAGTTTATTTCCCCCTTACTGGGAGGGTGGTTTTAAATTGTACTGATGATGAATTGCTTCATTCCTTATCATTTCATTGTGTGTGAAAGTTGCTGTTGATTTATTTCCTTTGCAAAGGGGTCAGGTTTCTGGGCACTGTGGCCACTTCATGGCCACTGTGCTTGTACCCTCCCTTTTTTTCTTTTTAAAAGCATATTGATACATCAAAGCACCCACCACAAAAATAAAAAGGAATACATTGCTCAGAAGCACCCTTGTGGGTCGGGAAAGAAAGCTTTGCAGAAGATAAAGGACAGGAATACATTGCTCAGGAGATACAGTAGCTTGAAGGAGACAGCCTTCTCCCCACTCCCTTGTGGATGAAAGAGGGCTAGAAAGAGAGACTGAATTGTACAGAAAGGAGTATTGTATTGTCTCCTCCCTCTTTTTTTAACTCTGATGTTAACGGTACTTTGCAAGTCATTCAAAACTGGCTTCCTCCTCTCAAGACTTGGACTTCTCTATTGCTCTGTCCTTGTATCACTTTTGTTTTTTGTTTTTTTTTAAAAAGGATGGGCGGGGGGGGGCTGATGGCCCCAAGAAACAGTAAAGAAAAGGAATCTATACAAAATTAAGAGCAGTATAGTCTGTTATAATGATTCAACTAAAAGTAAATGAATTGATGCAGTTAAAAACAATGCAAATGCTCCTGCAGATATATATACCACATTACTGGAAAAAAATTGTATCAGTACAGCAGAGGTATGAAAAGAATCAGTATAACTGGGGTCCTTTTCTAGTATGTGATTGAGCCCTGAGATGGGCCAATGCCTGTCCCATTCAGTCCAGCCCATCCCAGCACTAATCCTTGTATTTGCTCGAGATCTTTTCTGTGTCTTTAGGATGTACAGTGGTGCCTCGCTAGACAGTTACCCCGCATGACAGGTTTTTTGCTAGACATTGACTTTTTGCGATCACTGTAGCGATTAGCAAAACAGTGATTCCTATGGGGGAATTTCGCTGGACAATGTTTGGTCCCTGCTTCGCAAACTGATTTTCACTAGACAACGATTTTGACAGCTCCCTCCACACTTGCAAAACGGGTGTTCTCGGGATCTAAGCTGTTTAAACAGTTGATCAGTGGTTCACAAAGCGGCTTTCCTATGGCCGATTGCTAGACAATGACGATTCTTCCCCATTGGAACGCATTAACCAGGTTTCAATGCATTCCAATGGGGAAATGCTTTTCGCTAGACAATGATTTCGCTAAACAGAGATTTCAGTGGAACAGATTATCATCGTCTAGCGAGGCACCACTGTAACTATTACATTGCTGCTGTTGTTGTTGTTGTTGTTGTTGTTTTCGTCATCATCATCTATTTATTTGCATCCTACTTTTCCGATAACAGTACCCAAAGTTTCACAAGATGCTAAATAATGCTAAGTATAATAATTGATAAGCAGTAAGAGGAACTACAAGTAATGATTACACCAGAAAATAAATATGTAATAAAATAACAGTACAACATTGAATAATTTATAAATAAACTGATGTAATTCACTAATGTAAACTAAACAGGAAACAGATGAAATCTTAACTCATATGTATTAGAGAGAAGGGCAAATACATTGGAAATCCAAACAAGGCAAAATGGAGTCCCTTCCCTTAGTCCATATACTTTGACAGACAGCCACAGGTCTTGCTTGCAGCAGTCTTTTTTCCCAGCTCTTGTCTGGACCTCCTGTTTCTGTCCCTTCTCCATCTCTCACTTGGGGATGTAAAGGTAGTTCGTGCTTTGTCTTCAAGTGACACATTTGCTTACAAATTATATTACTCTATATCTCTCAGAAATAGTGGATGCGGGAGCAAGCCAGGTGGAAAAAGTCATCTATTTAAGAATATTCTCTCCACCCTTCTGCCATTCTCTCATTTCAGCAGGTTTATGACTTTCTAAGATGGTGATGGAGCGGGGGAACTGGGATGACAAATCATGCGCTTGAATGTTCTTCCTATGGTGTGAGAGGATTTTAGCAATACAATTAATAGTTGTTTGTTAATAGTAATGTTTGTGAATGTGCATGTTTCTTACCTTTAGGTAAGTGAGCATGAATGCCACAGTTAGGTGCAGGTTTCCAGCTCATACAACAAAGTAAATGTGTAATTGTGTGTTTGTGTGTGTGTAAGAGAGAGAGAGAGACAAAGGGACAGACTTGTACTTCCACTACTGTCATTATTTTTTGTACTTCTCTCTCTCCCTGTCTCAATATTCTGTCCTTTCCAGGAATCTGGTCCAGGTACAGTACAAGCTCTTAAAGTAAGAGCCCTTTTACTCATTAAAAGGTTAGAAAATTGTTGTGAATAGGTCTTCCATTTTCCTGTCACTGGATTGAAAGTAAACATAGACACACTGGACCCCTGGAAATTGAGTCCCATAGATTTCAGTATGTCTGCTCTAAATATGACTAGATCTGTATCCAAACCATTATTTGTTTCAAGGTATCTTAATGGAATATTAATATTTAATCAGTGTTATATGACATAATCAGTAGTTTTCTATTGTTACAATATATGAGGCATTAACCATTTACAACTGTCGGAATATTTTCCAGGAAATACTGCACCTGGGTGAAGTTGATGGATTGAGTACTAATAGTCCTGCCTGCTTGTTTATCATTCTGAAATAATTTGTTTTATAAGCTAAATTTATTTCGAGGTTTAAAAATTTTGAATGGTGTAATGAACAACCTTACAACATTAAGACATGGCATTGCAGAATTCTTTTGCTGTGATAGAAGCAGCTGCACTGGCTAAGGTTATCTGCACTGTCTTAATTTCATAGCAGTTCTCCTCATATGGATATGACAGCCTGGCCACGTTGCACAGATTAAAGATACCTTGTCTTCCCTTTGTTTTATGCCCCCATCCTTCTAGTTAAGCCATGTCTTAGTGGGTTAGAATATCTGCACAGTGACGTTAACTTCAGATTATTCTACTCTTCAGCAGCGGCCAGTTTGAACTGACTCTAAGCTATTTTATGATGTCTAATATTAATCTGCACACACCAAACCAATTTATACAAATATGTGGATTAGATGAGATCAAAGTTCTGCCCATCTGGAAGTTGCAATTCGCTTATGGCTTGAGTGTATTACGTGCTGTGTCCTTATCTGGTTTTTATAGCAACAATTTTGTACTTTCAGATTTCTCTATGCGCAATATAGGTTATCGCCAAGCAAACTTTAATTGTATGACAGAAAATTCTCATAATTCCAAAATGATCAACTGGTCTTCATATAAAAGGCTAAAACAGGGACTAGGTAAAAGCCAGAATGGAATGGAAAGGGTAGGAACAGGAGCTTCTTAACAACAACAACAACAACAACAACAACAACAACAACAACAACAACAACAACAACAACAAACGATGCCAAAAATAGTTGGATACAACGACATATATCAGAACAGTATTGTAGACCTCAGATCTGCAAGAATGTACCATAGTGGCCCAGAACAGCAACTTCCAAGTAGGATAATTCATGACTCGTATGTGACAGACGCAGCAATGCAAAATATAAATTGCTTTTAGAATTTGGTGGTGGCTGATTTCTGGTTAAGTACTTTTGTTAACAACCTTTATCCTACAAATGTATTGTGCCATTCTACTCCCACCATCCTCACCAGAATGTACAACTGACTGAGCTTCAGTTGGTGCAACTCACCTATGGCTTTCATTACTGTGAACATATATGATCCTACAGCATGCATGGCCATTTCACTTAAGGTGTCTTGTAATAAGCAGCAGTATATTAGAGCTGGTCTATTGATTCCCTGCCACCCTGAATCTTTTTAAAACTCCTTTAACATTAAGAGAAAGTAGTCTAGGGACTTCTTCCTAGTTACCAAAGAAAAATCATATGAATAATTTAAGTTTACTTTGAAACTTCTGCTCAATAGCCTTCATGTATTGGGAAGTCTTAAAATAAATCTCTGAAGTCAGTCTCTGGAAGAGCTGGTGATAGAAGGATGTGTAAAATTATGAACTCAGTTCATGCGCTCCTGGTTTGCTTTGCCCCTCTGGCCTTCTTCCAGGTTTGGAAGTGAAGAGCAGAGACCTCAGTGAAGTCTGGGTTCATTAGTTTGGAACAACATAACAGCATGGGATTAATTTAGCCATCCATTGTTGTCTTTGTTTACAGAACAATGCCATTGAACCATCCAAGGATTCATATGCTATTTCCTTAGTATCAGTGCCACCTCACAAGCCCCATTGGTGATTAGAGATACTCATTAGCATATTGTTCCTGCTCATTAACTATAGCCTCGGATTTATTTAGCCACCCATCATTTTCATTGTATACAGAACAGTGCTTCCTGAGAAGGAAAATGAATATCAATAAAAGATTTAAAGATCATTGCCAGGTCAACAACTTGTGGCCAAATTCAATAATTTCCTTACTATCAGTGCCACCCCACAAGCCCCACTGGTGATTAGAGATACTTATTAGCATATTGTTCCTGCTCATTAACTATAGCCTGGGATTTATTTAGTCACCCATCATTGTCATTGTTTACAGAACAGTGCTTCCTGAGAGGGAAAATGAATACCAATAAAGGATTTAAAGATCATTGCCAGGTCAACAACTTGTGGTCAAATTCAGTAACTGATTAGGGGCCATGTATAAATGTATAAATATTTGCCATGTAGTTCCACTCATTAAGTGGATTTGTCCACAAAAGTTCACATTCAAATATAGCAGTTAGTCTTTAAGGTCCCACTATATTTTTTGTGTTGTCTATTTTTCTTTTGTTTTTTTCTAATATGCTAGCACAGATGATCATAGTTACCTCTTCTAAAACTGCTAGTATGAGATTTGTTGTTGTCTTAGTTATCTTCTTAAGTATCTCTGTTTGTTCTTCTTATAGAGAGAGAGGCACAGCAAAGCAGACCACACTGCCTGGACTGGGCCTTATCCCTGTTTACTGGAGCAATGTACGTTGTCATGGAGATGAAGAAAACATCCTGCTGTGCGAAAAAAGTATCTGGCAGGGTGGAACGTGTTCTCAAAATATGGGAGCTGCTGTCACATGTAGCTTTTCCCAGGGTAAAATATAAATATGTATACAGATTTGACTTTATATTCTGTAAACAACAAAGTTCTCATCCTAGGCCCTACATGACTCGGTATAAAATAGCTTTGATGGGAATTGTTGGTGGTAAATCACGGTTATGCTGAATAATAAGACAATTATTGTTGGATTTTGAAATCAGCATTAAACTATATGTATTTTAATTTTTTTACAGTAAGGTATGATCACCTTAAAGATTTAAACATGTATGGAGTAAACATGAATTAGCATAGAAAATTAAGGAGCAGATCTGTGTGCTAAAGCTCAGATTTGCTATTTACACTACTTATAGAGCTTCGTGGTGCAGTGGTTAAATTGCTGTACAGTAGCCAAAAGTGTGCTCACGACCTGGGGTTCAATCCCAGGTAGCCGGCTCAAGGTTGACTCAGCCTTCTATCCTTCCGAGGTCAGTAGAATGAGTACCCAGCTCATTGAGGAGCAATGTGTAGCTTGCATAATTAACTTGTAAGCCACCCAGAGAGTGCATGAAGTTCTATGGGGTGGTATATAAGCAGCATGATTTGCTTTTTCTGCTTTTGCTTGTAAGTTACGTTCTTGTATTATTTCTTATACCATTTTTGGTCATTATGTAAGACTCCACCTCTATATCCCACTTGATCATGACCGATCTAGGTTTAAACATGTGGCTCTAGTATAGTCATGTTTAGTTCGGTCTTACAAACCTTTACAACCACCTGGAATTTTTCAACAACAGGGATGTGATAATAAATCATGAGAGTCAAACTAGGAGACACCAAATTATCATTGAAGTCCTAAATAAAGAATAATATAGAACACGAAGAGAAAGGGACAATGATTGAAACCCTGTTGTGCAGTTACATAAAACAACATACTTTTTTTGGAAGTGAATTGCAGAGATGGGGACTCAAGTCATGGGACTTGCTGTCATGTCAGACTTAAGACACACCGGCAACTTTACTCAGATTTGACTCAGTTTTATTTTTTTTCAATGACTTGAACTTGACTCATGACCCAGAACCCACCTACCCCTCCCTTTTTTTCTGGAGAAACAAGCTTGTTTTTAATAGGGTCTCAGACTTGGGACTTGGTTCCAAAGACTCGGAATCAGACTTGGGACTCTGACCCAAAGATTTGCCAACATCCCTGGTGAAATGCCATAAGTTAAGTAATTTCCGTAGACATTATCTGTTGCCTACTGAGTCACACGACTTGACTTCCCATAGATAATGCTTGTGGCAATTTGCACGTAACAGTGATGCTGTTTGCATAACTGTGCAACAGGATTTTAGCCAAAATCTATTTACAGTCATTTAAAAAACCTCTCAAAATAGAAAAATTATAAAAGGTTCATCTATATCCCTAAAGATGCTGTATGTTGCATATATGTGTGTGTGCTTGTCTAGGCCAGAAATACTTGGTGTGGTAGGTCATAAACTTTGTGGAACAGTGCATTCTGTATTCTCCCTTCCCCAAATGAAGTTTCTTTGATGGGGCACCTAACAGTGGTTGCTACTTACAATATTGTTTTCCTCCATAGATTTGTCTAGCTGGAAGAATGTATGGTACTCACAGTCATCATTATAATGAATCCTGCAACACCTTAAAGGCTAACACGTTTATTATAGCATGAACTTTCATGAACTATAGCTTATTTCATCAGAAGAAGTGGTATGTCAGCCATGGAATTTCATGCTGTAATAAATCTTAGTATTTCAGATGGCACCAGATTCTGTATTCAGTATTTTTTTGGTCACTTGTCTGTGACAGACAAGTTTGACTGCCTTTTTAGAATATATTTCTGCATAGGAAAGAACTGTACAGAGGTGCCCAATTTGCAAGGTTCTCTTTTATTAACTTATCTTTTGTCAGGCCTCCAATATATTTATATATAAGAATAATAAAACATTGCAGAAAGTTGTCCAACCATAGAATCGTATTCACTGAAAAAGGCTCCTTTTTTGTTTTTTTTTGGTAAGAGATCATTGCCTAGCATTGATTTAAGCAGCTGTTTGAGGAAGCCTGGAATGAGATTGTGTTTAGAGCTCCATCGGCTGGTTCATGTAATTACTTATGACTTGTGAGGAATCATGACATTTCCTTGGCCGGATGATGGCTATAACAGAGAGAAACAGGCTGCATATTTCACATACAGCAAGCAATTATTTTCAGTAGCCCTTTATAGCCACTATTATTGTGGTAATACTTCATGCAAGAGAGGATCAGGTGTGGATTAGATGTTCCTGGAGGAACAAGGAAATTGCACAACAGTGGGCCCAGATCATGGCAGTCTTGCACAAAGAGCTCCCTGCACTACTCCAACAAGATAAAAATATCAGAGACAATGCAATAAGAATGTAAGTGAAATCCAAAATTAGAATAGTGAGATTTTGATAACATGGAAAGGATGCAAGGCATAGGACTGTTGAGAAGTGTTGGATTCCAAAACCATAGAATATTTATATTGAAACTCTATTTAATTTGTGTCAAGTAGCACAGGAAGCAGGGGCTTCCAGGGTCTCTAAACATCCAAAGTATAATTCTTTTGGATGTTTAGAAAAATATGTAAATACGTTTCATCCCAAATATTTTACCTTCCTACTCTCCCCACAGCCATTCTGATGTGGGGACTGCTGAGCGCTATTCAGGTGTTACATTCACAGATAGGCTGATGCTTAGAAGGAGCTGCTTAGCTCCTGTCACTTGTTATGTAAGGAGAGTGAGGCATCTGCAGAATAGATTCCTGCTTCTGTTTAGGCTCTCCATGAGAGCAAGTACCCCATATTTTCCAGGGACCATACTCATGTGTAAAGCCTGCATGGAAGTAGGAACATGCCCTCTTTCAGAAATGTAAATTTCTTTGCATTTGGAAAGCAATGAAAGAGAGGGCTGGAGGTTAATAACTCACAGCCAAGGTCTGTGAAGGTAACACTCTTGTAACCTCATGTTGGGTAGCTGCAAAAGTTGCATTCAGATGAAATGGTCAGGTTAGTATGAATTATGTCACTACATTTAAGATTGTGCTAATACAAATTCCCATGAATACAAATTCCTGGGGACGTCATCTAAGCCCATGGCCATCACCACAGCTTCAACACTGATTTCCATCAATTAACGATGCTTTTTCTGAAGAAACACCTCATTTTGTCTGTCTCAGATCTATATCCAATTTCTACTGCTCTGTTATTATGAGAGAGGAGCAATATATTTGAATGTTTCCTTCGTGCATGAATATGTGTTATAAACCTGTAGCATGTTATGGTCACCCCAGCACCCTACTGTAGTTTAAAACTAAAAAACCTCAGACACTTCAGATTTCCCTGCAAGAAAGGTGATCTAATCCTTTGATCATTTTTGTTGCCATTTTTGGTAACTTTTAAAGCTCTATGATATCTTCTTGTTTATAAAAAGATCTGCATCCCAGATGTGTAGGTACTTACAGTATTTCTGATCACAGTACACCACAATCCAGTCTTTATACTGTCAAGTTTCAATTATTCATGCTCCCTAGACCTCCACGCTCCTGTTTTTTTGGTTAGGAAAATCTCATGTGAATAATGGCTATTTATTTCATGGACATATTTCTGAAGAGATTTCAACCAAAGTGCAGTTCACTGAGAACTGTTTGTTTGGAATGATAATGATATTAATAACATTTTCAGTAATGCAATTAAGATAAAATTATAATTTATTGGAGCAAAGCAAACAAACATGCAAACATATAAAAATGGCTAAAGCCAAGAAACTGAAATATGGTACTACCATACAAGGTGTCAAGAGCATTAAAATCATCCCAAACGTTTCTTCAGCATGTTAGAGACATATTAAAATGGATCTGTCCAAAATCTGTCATGGTTGAGACATGAGGCTGGGCTATAGTTAGAAACTGGCCAGAATCCTATTACTTATACCTGCCAACATAAAGTTCAGAAGTCAGTGTGTGTTTTTCTTATTGCATATCAGTCATGTGACTTGGCACACAACAAGAAATATTAAAGCTGATTACTTACGTAACTAGCAGCAATTTGACACACTGAGATTTACACTGTTAGCCTTACACTGGCTGGCATTTCAAACAGGATTCTGGCTGTTATGTTTTTGTGTTCTTAATCAGTTATACTGAATGTGTTTCTGCTTGCTCCTCCTTAAAAAAAATAATTATGACACATGCAACACTGAGTTTCCTTTTCTGAATCTGAAATATATACCTTGAAGAGGCAGGGTGAATGATAATAGTTGGAATCTGATCTTCAAGAAATTACTATTTTGGATGACAGGTCCCAGAATCCTCTAACCGATATGACCGTGCTGGCTGAGGGAATCCAGCTGTTGTCCTAAATAATAACTTCCATATTTTAGTGTATGTCAGGCATGGGCTGCATGCAGCAAAAGGGCAGTAATCTGGGGTTTGTACATGCATGCAATGTGTAGCTTGTATCATTCAATTGTAAACCACAAGAGAATGCTTTAAGTGCTGTGGGGTGGTGTATAGTATAGGCAGCACACTTTGCACGCACACACACCCATGTGCAGAAATGTCCATATGTACTGTTACCTCTCCATCTCAGCACACAGAGACTGGAAGGTTTAAATACCCTCCCCAATATTACTTCATACATTCAGATCCCCATTGCCAGCCTGCTAGTCTGGGATGCAGTGTAAATAGAGGTGAAGGTCACATTTAGATAGCACTTCCTTGCTTTGCTTTGCTTTTGAATTATGAAAACATACAAAACACAAATACAAAGAAGAACAAAAAAAGAGAAACAAAATAAGCAGAAAAGAAACACCCACAATAGAACTCATCTAAGTGGTTTATTTAAATAACATTTCCAATAGCCCACCAGCACACTGTTTGAAACGTGATTGTATTGGGAAAGATAACATCCAGGGATAAGTACCACTGCAGTAGTACTGCTGTTCTGAAAAAGATCATCAAGGGAAGACAGCACTCAAGAAAAGTGGTACACAAGGATGGCTATACTGATTCTTGCAGCAAAATGATAACACCAGCAGCTTGGAGATAGGATCTCAAAGTAGAGGCACTTCAGATTGGAACCTGCTATGGGTGGCACAGCTGGGCTTCAAAGGCTGTGTGCTGCCCATATGTGCTCTTATGTTCATCTGTAATTAACCTGGAATAGATCAAGCTGTTAAAGAAACTTTGAAAGTCAGGAAACGTTTGTTGTCTGCTAGCAATCAAATATCAGTATTTGTGAAATTAAAACTTTTCTTGTTATATATTTCTCTTCAGCCATTGATTTTATCCCAGTCCGTCTGGTTGATGGGAAAAATGCTCATGAAGGAAGAGTAGAGGTATACTATGCTGGTCAGTGGGGAACCATCTGTGATGACCAATGGGATGATGCAGATGCTGAGGTTGTCTGCAGGCAACTTGGCCTTGGGTTAGTTTCCCCCCCAGATATATTGTATTCTGTTGTAAATCTGTTAATTGCTAATGAACAAACCAAAGCACATACTTTGCAGTTTAAAATGTGATTGTGATTGTGTTGAAGACTGACCCACGTGAGCAAAAATATGATCTTGATTTATAGAATAATGTTAAAAACCATTTATGTGAGAATGAAAGCTGTACATTTTATCTCATTTCATCTTCATATGTAAAGATATTGACAATATAACATCTTTTCTCAGCTGTTGTTTTTCAGGGACCAAAAACTCACAACTGTATAATCTCACATCCCTAATCTGTTTAGGAATATGGAGTGTGATTGGACATGCCTTTAGCAGACACATTTTATTCTCTTGGATTCTTGTGGCTCCACTTTCTTCTCTCGGAAATACCACAGATTTCTAAAGTGAATAAAGCAACCCCAGCAAAGAATATGATTGTATATGTAGGGCTGGGTTCCTCCAGCTTTCTTTATGCAAATAGATTTAGGCAAAGAGGAAATGATATAACTCAATTTAAAGAAGTGGTGCAAAATAAAAAAGCATATTAAGATGGTTGAAGGATAGCAATTGTTCATTTGTTTTACTTGCATCTTTTAAAACCTTTCCCTGAACCCTCTATCAACATGTTCCCTCTACATTCTAAAATACCACACTATCTCCCTCTAAGAATTAAACATTTCTCTAGCTCCTCATCCTATGCTGACACACCAAATTACTCAATTCTGTTGCACCTTGGACTGACTTGTTTCACTGTTATACTAATATATTTATTTCAGCTGCTTTTCGTTGGCTTACCAATAGAGTTTGCAGTGTGAAGCAGTGAAAAGAGTCTTCATGATGGCTGCAGATCTTATACTGGTAGAAAGCAGGGTACCTGTTTTCACTCCTTTTCCCCAAATGGGTTACTTGAAATTTGTCAGCTGGAGATCTAGACAGAGTTCTTTTAAGAGGTCTGACCACTGGACTAACAGCTAGGGTTGCAAGGTTAGCAGTGTGCCATTGCCCAAGATTCAGGGCCCAAACCTGAAACTGGGGAGTGGTTCACTGTGATTTCATGAAGGTGAGACAGGGAAAGATTGAGAGAGGGTTCAACCTGCTTCTGGGCTGGTTGACTGTGGAAATGGGCCATCTGATCATGGAATCTCTCTCCTATTCCACCTCACTCCTTTCTTTTTGTTTACAGATGTTCTACAAGCATAACTAGAATTTTTGTATTATTTTATTCTTATTGTGTTTTAATATTGTGTTGTCTTGTTTTTAGCCACCCAGAGTGGCCTGGCTGCCGGATGGTGCAGGGTATTAATCAATCAGTCAATCAGTCAATCAGTCAATCAATCAATCAATCAATCAATCAATCAATCAATCAAACAAACAAACAAACAAACAAACAAACAAACAAACAAACAAACACTTATCATGCTGATCCAATGGCACCTATTCTGAACCTTGTCTTTAAAGCAGTTCAACGCACAAGAAACAAATTTTCTGCAGTGTTGTTAACTCTGAGGTTTTTCTCCCTTCCTGGATACCAAAGGAAGCAAAGTAATCCCCAAAGACTTCAACAGGAGCCCTTCTTGGCTGATTAGATTTAGTGTTGTTGCCTACACCAGAAAAGCAGCTTAAATGAGCACTCCACAATCTTTTGGAAATGTATGGGTTTTGAATTCATGCCACACTGAAAAAAATAATAATCTTCAGCTTGTATTTGTATATTTTATTTTCACTTGAGACTGACTAGCTTGCATCTGTTTGCTGTGTTTAGTAAATGACAGCTGTCATTAAACAGCCAGATATTTAATATGAACCTACAGACATGTGATCTCAGAAAGAGCAGCAGGATGCCTTAACAGGTAGACTCATTATCCATGGACTGAAATTTACTAAGAGAGGGGAGTTATAGGTATATCAGCTGGGGAATAGATGGGGTTGGGAAGCATGTTTGATTCACTTAATCCAGCGGGAAATGTTCTGCAAACTGTGAAATAAAGCCTGTTGGTAATATCCTTCTTACCCCATCAGATATTTCATTTGGCATTATAGTGCAATAAAATCCAGCAGGATTATTTTGCCATTGACAGGAAGAAAATTCTGTGCATCTAATTAAATTTTTTTCTATGCTAAAATCCATCCATTATATTATCTGGATTTCTAGTGTCTGTGCATTACATGTGTGGTATGAAGAGCAGTTTTGTGGGAAGCAGAAGATCTAAAGATGACCACTCATCAGTCTCTTCCAACTTGGTCTGACATGTGTCATATTTTCAATGAATGTGGATGATGGGACTTGTAGTCCAGCACATCTATAGTGTACAAGTTTGTGGAAAGTTTGGTGACCCAAACTCTTTGTAGTCTGACAGGTTCTTTCATGAACCAGCATGTGATGGGGTTCTTGTTGTTAGTGAATGACTGTCTAGGATACAATCAACAGGATACTTTATATGTTGTTGCTTCTAAATCTCTTAAAAATATTTTATATCAATAAAATAAATAGATTTGATTTCTCAAAGAACTTTGATTAACTAATTATAATTTGAATTTACATTGGTGGAAAACAATATAGAATTTAACTAGGAATATTATTTTCCAAGGATTTTTTCAGATGACTGCATTAAATCTGAATAACTCGATTACTGAAATATCATTGCATTTGGACAAATGGACACTAATAATTTTGACTCTTTTGGACTCTGATGAAGACACTGTTTTGTGGTTTGAGGGATTTCCATAAATCATTTAGAGGCACATTTTTTTAGCTGAATGACTTGGATGGACAGTGGTTTTGCCCAATTCTGGGGATAGTTTTTCCTCTACCCACAGTCATGCCCACTTGAAAGGGTTGGAAGTAGAATGTTTTAGAAGGAGTAATTGAAAAAGAAGATGTAATGTGCAAATCACTGCTATAAACACAAGACTGGATTTTCAACTGTAGATGTCATAAGTGTCTGGCCTTTTGTATATAAAATGAGTTTCTGTTTTGACTCCTACTTCCCTTGCTTCCTGTATACACAACAATCCTTTTGCCTGCTCTTTTTTTGGGCTGGGGGGTATGTCTTCTTCTTTATATGATTATTGGTATTTATTATCTGTTCATTTCAATTATGTTTATACTAAAATAAAACTTGGCAATTTCCTTCCTGACTTCCTGACTATGTAAACAGAACTTGAATAGGTTAGACATTTAATGACAGATACATTCTAATTTACTGTTGGAAGTGTACATAATAAATGGACAATTCAGATCAAATCCCGTTGATTTGAATCACCCATTAATTAGAAGAAAATAATTCTTTTTTTAAAAAAAAAACATGCACCTTAAGTAATCATCTTGAAAGGTTGCCAGGATCCCTAGTCAATATCACGTTTGGTTGTTGAATGCATACCATATTAAAAAATTATTTCAGCAAGAGATGATTTCAGACTGCTTGCCATAAGTGATTCTTTATTTATTGTATTTGGACAGAGGAGTTGCCAAGGCATGGAGCCAGGCTTATTTTGGAGAAGGTTCGGGTCCTGTGCTATTGGACGAAGTGCGTTGTACAGGAAATGAGCTCTCTATAGAAGAGTGTCCAAAGAGTTCTTGGCAAGAGCACAACTGTGGTCACAAAGAAGATGCAGGTGTTTCCTGCACACCTTTGGCAGGTTAGCAGCAATGAAAATAGATTACTGAAGTGCTAGAAGTGTACAGCAGAAAGTTCATGATAATCACTAGTGAGCTGTTCCTGTAGTGCTGAAGAAACATAGTGGGAACAGTCCTTTGGTGTTGGGGGAAGCATGCCACCCCTACACATAGGAAAGGCTTCAAATACACTATATACCCATTTTAAATTAACATGAGTGGTCTTGGGTCCTATTCTGGGAGAAAGGTGGGATATTAATGTAAAAAAATTATTTAAAGATTAGATCTTAAGTCTCTGTAACAAGCACTTCAGCACAGAAGAAAATATATTTCATCGATATAAGTACAGAAAGATGTTCTTTATAAGCAGTAATTATCCTGTAAGTGGTTGAATTATCACTATAGTATTTTTATAAAGAATAGTACTGGGAGTCATGTAATACACTTCTGTAATTTCATAATTATATAAACTAGGATAAGGCTGGCTGCAAATCAGGCAAGTGCACAGTAGTTTTGAAAAAGATTATGACATAACTGATTATGAAATGAAAGGTTGTTTAAATTACCATACAGTTAAGCTGTATAAATCTTTCTTTCTTTCTTTCTTTCTTTCTATTTTGCAAGTAATTTGCATCTAGCCATATAATTGTTCCATTGCATTAAATGATACAGTGCACATAATTTTCCCTGGTAGTTCTCTGTTAAGCAGGGCTGATTCCTATTTTTAATGCCATAGATGGTGCAATCAGACTAACAGGCGGAAAAGGCAGCCATGAGGGACGACTGGAAGTGCTTTACAGTGGACAGTGGGGCACAGTCTGCGATGACGGGTGGACTGACTTGAACACACAAGTGGTTTGTCGGCAGCTGGGCTTTAAGTAAGGTCAATTTATGTGAAGCTGTCTGCTAATCACTTTGCAGAGCAATGCTGATGAAAACTCATTGCCGAATGCTTCTATATATTATGCAGAATTTCACAGACACTTGCTTCACTTCTTTACTTCGCAGTTAAATTCTGATCACTTCCACATGTTGTCCTTTGGGATCAGAAGCCATGTTTAAAGTAAAGCAGAAGTCAGGTAAACGAAAATTAAGTCAAGATGGAAAAAATAGCCAGGTTTAGTCACTTTTATTAATCTGCCATGGCAATGTTTTAGAAAAAAACTTTAATATAGTTTCTTAGTTTTCTCTGAATTGGAAAGGGTGGGTGAGCAGTATTATTAATTTAATCATTATTTTGCAAGTCACCTAATGTTCAGGAGTCCAGGTGTCTGAAACATTTTATGCTAGAAGAAAAGTTTAATTCTGCCTTCCTCAGCAGGGTATTCCCCTGGTGTCTTTTACAGCTTCAGTCATCCCCATGCCAGTACAGTATGTAGTTGTATTCCAACTCACCTGGAGGACACCAGCTAAACAACTGGTTTTAAATAGTTGGTCTAAACTTCACATTAGCAGGAAAAGGCTAATGTGAAAAATGGAAACTGAGATAATAACTGGGATTTGTGCAGATTTAGAGCCTGGAATCATTCTGCCATGTGTAGGCAATCTGGACTGGGCTATATTCCTTCCAACAATCCTGCTCCTAGATTAAAGCATGGTTAAACCTACCATGGTTATCATTAAGATTTAATCATGTTTAGGTCCAACAGGAAGGATTTGTGCTTGAAAAGAAAGGAAAGAGGAAACGGAATACACATGTCTAAGCAATGAACAGCATTACTTCTGTAGCAGGTATTAGAGGATGGAATATAGGACACAGTACATAATGTTAGATATGTGCTTAAACCCTCTGCTGAATTAGACACATGGAACATATGCCTAATTAGCCAAGATTTCTGAAGGCCATCTAAGCTGACACCTGTTCTGCTGCTGATGTGCTGAACCTAGATCCTTTCCAGGCTAGGGATTCTGGAAATTGCCTAGAAATACCCTTGGCCTTGCTGAACATTGTGCTACTGTGGCAGCTGTGTAGCTGTGATGGAGGTAGAGATGGTTGGATCTGCCATAATGTAGCTTTCCACCTCTTTCTTAGCTCATCTACTGGCAGATCTTAGGCAGGAGAACAATTCCGTTGATCTCTGAGATCACCTACCAGAAGTGGGTTCTGCCAGCACAGAAAGGCACTTCTGTCTTGCTGCCAGGATATCCTTTAACACTGTAAACCAGTACATCTTTGAGTTCCGTTGCATTGTAGTATATACTAATATAATATACTAATATATACAAGGATTTTATTGAAGGGTGATGGTCATTTAGCAATAAAATACAGATTTTAATTAAAATTGAACCCAAAGGCCAGGATCTTGTTGATCACTTATGCTGATGTAAAGGCAGCACTGTTAGCTGCAACAAGAAATTGCCATTTCTTGTTGCAGCTAACAGTTGCATGAGTTAGTTCACAATGAGGGAAATAACTTCTTAATTAGTAGCAATTTTCTTCTGAGGTTTATGGCACTGCACTTAATGCTGGTGTCAGTGCTGAAATTTTGTGTGAATACAACGTTGAAATATACGAAAAAAATATATATGTTAATCTATGGTGTCAATAGGAATGGGAAAGGTATGTCAGAACACTACCTGGAAGAAAACACTGGACCCATCTGGCTGGATGACATCAGCTGTTCAGGAAAGGAGACTGCCCTTCTGCAGTGTTCAAAGAGAGAGTGGGGAAAGCATGACTGCAGCCACCAGGAAGACGTCAGCATAAGTTGTTATAGAGAGAATGACAGCCACAGATTCTCACTGGGTAAGTCACTCTTTGAAGGGAAATTGGATTTGCAATTTTTCAGTATTAATCTCCTATGCCACATGGCAAACCTCCAGAACTGAATGTGGATGGGGCAAAGGGGGGAAGGTTTAGAGCTGGTGTGTCCCCCTGACCTGCAGAAGTTGTCTATCTCTGCTCTAAAGTATCCTGATGAAAACAGTTGGCTTCAATTATATCCCTAGTCCCAAGCAACAAAAAGGTTCTTCCTCTTTGGGTTAGGAGGTGGCTATCATTTTCAAAGAACAGTGTTTGAATGAGGCAGAAAAGTATTCAGTAAAAAAATTTAGGCAGCATAAAGCACAGGCTTGACTAGCCAAAGGCCAGATGAACTGACAAGAGACCCACTGAAGCTGTGTGGATCTAACCCGCTCCTGGTCTAGGGCTGTTGAAAGTACTTAGGGCTAGTCTTACCCTGGCCTAATTTTGTGTTGGTTTTGCAACTGTGTCTATGGGTTGGAGGAGGTTTGCACCCAACTGGCATGACTTGGCTGTTTTCTTCCTTTGTCCCCTCCAACCACTTTTGGCTCTTCTGCCAGTAGATCTCTCTGTTATCTGAGCTCATAAAACAGAAGAAGGTTGTGTCGTCAGGATGAGGCTTCTGCCTATTCCTGGCACTTACAGTTGATACATAGGTACAGTATTTGTACTAGAATTGTTCTGCCCTTTTCTACATTAAAACTTGCATCCTGTTTTTGAACTCTCTGCTAGGGAAATCTTAGAACTAACAGTATAATGAGAATTGTTCTGCCCTTTTCTACATTAAAAATTGCATCCTGTTTTTGAACTTAATAATGAGCTCTGCTAGAGAAATCTTAGAACTAACAGTGTAATTTGAGGCATATTGTTAAATCATGATTTTCTTTGTCAAAGTGTGTTGTAAGATTGAAAGGTTTGTTTTACTGAACAGGAAAGCCAAGTTGTAATCATGCACTTATTTCTGCAGCTGTATTTTTATCCCTTCACATCATATCTTTGCATTGCTATCCATTTTAACTACCCAGTATCCTGTAAGTTTTATTATCAAACAGTTTCATGTAAACAGTATAAATGTGTGGGTGAAACAAAATGGATTTTTTGAGAGTGGAAAATTTCAGACTCAGAATAACAGGAATTCATATTATGGTGCCTGTTCACACAGACAAAAAGCATCTGTTGCTCTTCTCATGATTTAATGGAACCTAAACCTGAGATAAGTAGATCTGGTATGGCTAAGTACATCCAGATGGAAAGATTCCCTTTAGACATCTGGGAACTGTGTTGATTTTGCAGTTGTGAATTAATCTTTAAAATAGTAACACATTGGTTGACAATAAAATCTGCACACTTAAGTAGCTATTATCCTGTGTTCCTACACAGGTAATTTGAGTAAAGCCTGTACTATTGTAACATTTTTTTAGGAACAAGTATTTCTGGGTGAGGACAAGAGGTGAACATTTAAGCATTTGGGGGATGTAATCTTCAGTACTCATGCTCTGTAACTCAACATTCACTAGGCAAAGTTCTGGTAGAAGAACAACTGAATTAAATGAAACCTGAATTAATTAAAGTATTCCCTCTTTTGTTATCTGTAGCAATATTTTTGACTGTGTAATTGGTGGATATACAGTACTATTCTGCTGTAGTTGTACAGCAATGAATCTTAAGGCTTAGTTCACAGAAATATTCATATGCTCAAAGGAATTGTTATGATCAGACGTGGCCAAAGATGTTTTGCTACCTGAGGCAGAATGGCAGTAGTGCCTCTGCCTCCAACAGTCTACTCATGTCAAGGTGCATAGGATACAAAGCTGCCCACATTAAGTTGGCACATGGAAGAGAGAATCTCATAAGTACCTTTTCTGGAAATAGAAATACAGCAGCCACATATTAAATAGCTGAACAGTTTGATATCCTTTTGTAATACTTGTCTGAAAAGCTCAGCTTTTTATCTCCTGCAACATTTCAGCCATTCTTTCCACTGATGGAATTTAATTTGTGCAGACTGGGTGCAAGACTGCTTCCTAACAGGCACTTAATTGTTTTAGTGTGTCAGCAGGGTGACTTGAGGACTGATTGTGGGAGCACATACTGTGCACCAAATTTAGTGGGGGGAGGCAGGGAAGGTGGTACCTGCTTGCTTTGATCATGAGCCTCTTATGGTGTGTCAGGCACGTACTTCACCTTGCAAGCAATTTAAAACGTAGGACACCTCATGGTGCAGTGGTTAAACTGCTGTACTGCAGCCAAAACTGTGCTCACGGCCCGGAGTTCAATCCCACGTAGCCGGCTCAAGGTTGTCTCAGCCTTCTATCCTTCCGAGGTTGGTAAAATCAGTACCCAGCTCATTGGGGAGCAATGTGTAGACTTGTAAGCCACCCAGAGAGTGCTTGAAGCACTATGGGGCGGTATATAAGCAGCACGCTTTTTGCTTTACTTTCTGTGAACTGTGGCCAAATCCTACTTTGCATAGAATAGATGGAGTTGTGTGCTGGATATGTAGTGAAGAGGTGAGCTTAGGGCATTCCTGATATATTCGGGCTTCAGCACTCCCTTTATGTGAGTGAAGGCTACCATCCTGTGTGGAAATCTATGGCTTTTCAGGTGTTCATGGATTCCTACTGATGGCAACTCCAGCTGAAATGGCCACTGGCTAGGGATTATAGGAATTTGTATCCAACATCATGTGGACTACAGGAAGGGAACCTTTGGCCTCCTAGATGTTTTGTATTTCAACTCCCAGAACCCCAGTCAATATGACTGTAAGTTCAAAAACTTGCCATGCCAGAATGTCTCTTTCATGTGGAGAGTCCTTTTGATGCTCAGTTACTTGGGAATAGATTTTGTTCAGTCCAGTGAGGTTTACTTTTGGCCAGACATGTACAGGATTTTGCTATTAAATACAGGGAATGCAGGCTAACAAATTTTTGTAGAGTTTTGAATTTCTTGTAAAATTTCTGTTTTGCTGCACAGTAGAAATACAGAGACCCATAGAAGAGAACAGCTTCAAGTTCCCCAGATAGTCCACTCCTTTTTCATTAATTGAAACTTACAGTCTCAGTAACTCACTCTGAGACATTAATCGAAGACAGAATAAAAACATTTCATTACTTACAATTGTGGACAGATCAACTGCAAACTACCGTATTTGCCGCTGTATAAGGCGACTGGGTGTATAAGACGACCTCCCAACATTCCCACTCAGAATGTAGAGTTTGTTATATACTTGCTGTATAAGACTACCCCCTCTTCCGCATGCGTGATTCTGCTTTGGGTCCATCATGGGGAGAGCTCCTTTTGCCGCTTTTGGTTCCTTTTTGGAGAGAGCCAGGGTTTGCTGGAAGAAGGAACAGCAGAGAGGCAGCAGCCATTTTGGAGAGGCGGCAGCCATTTTGAGAGGCAGCAGCCATGTGGTCACATCTCAAAATGGTTGCCACCTCTCTGCTGTTCCCAACAGTCAGCTGTTCGGCGCTAGAGTCAGGCTACCAATGAGGACCCGGCTCGGTCTACTCGGTCTTACTACCAGGTAAGTGACATCGCTGGGAGAGAGGGAGGGTTTGCTGGAAGTGCACCCGGCGTACAAGACGACCCCCCCCCACACTTGGAGGAATATTTTTCAGGGCCAAAAAGTCATCTTGTACGCTGGCAAATACGGTAACAAACACTGCTTCCAACAAGCTTAAAAAAAACCCAGAAAGGAACACTCAGCTAGGAGCTGGGTCTCTCTCTGTATTCAGAGGCAGGAAGGAACAGTTGGTTACTGCTGGATAGATTGACAGTCACCCCAGCCCAGAAAGGTCCCTCCCAGCCTGTGAGGTTATAAAAAAACTCCAACGCAACTTCATTTAAAACAAAGTCAGCATGTCCCATACATCATTTTAATAAGAGATAATTAGTATAAATAATGAATAGATAATTGCTGGTTGCTTTTGTTTGTTAATGTTCTGGTATATGTTAGGGGAAAGGGGTAATTTTATCAAAATGGCAAATTCTTACTAGCAGAAACATTGCAATAACAGTTGTTGTGGGTTTTTCGGGCTTCTTGGCCGTGTTCTGAAGGTGGTTCTTCCTAACGTTTCGCCAGTCTCTGTCCTCTGAAGATGCCGGCCACAGAGACTGGCGAAACGTTAGGAAGAACCACCTTCAGAACACGGCCAAGAAGCCTGAAAAACCCACAACAACCATTAGATCCCGGCCGTGAAAGCCTTCGCGAATACATTGCAATAACCCTTCACTGATAAACTTTTGAAGAAATGTAAGATCAATGGAGAATATATTGATTGTGTTTATGAGCTCATTGTGTAATGGTGATCAGCCTTTGGCTGTAGCAAAGGCTTTTGGGAGTTGGCAATCCTCCATACTTCTCTGGAGAAAAGGTAGAAGTGTAACTGAGCCAGTCCTAGTTTTCAGTTCTCCTTCATTCAGGAAAAGTTTGGAATCACTGTTGAAAACTTTCAGACAGAAAAGGGTTTAAGGCAGACATATTAAACAGTGAAATACAAAACAAAGTACAGTAACAATATCAGTGTATAGCATTGGAGGATGTTCGATTGGAACTATACAATACCTTTTTGTTTTTTTGGTGGAGGGTGTTCTGCCATTTAAAACATAGATGACTGATTGTGTGTTTGAGTGCTCTGTGACAACAACTTTCCTGCACATGTAAAACTAGAATTTCAAGCATAAGGTTCTTGACTAAGATTCTGTCTCATACTTTATAGACAAAATCCAGTTGCTTAGTGTAGTAGATCGCACTAGAGTAGGCCAATTGAATCAATGGGATTTTAGTGATAGCTTCCATTGATTCAAATGATCTTAATCTAACCGAGGTTTATGTTAAAGTAAGCTTATTTGAATCAATGGAAATAATGGAGAAGTTAACTCACTAAATCCCCCTTGACTCAGTGGTCCTGTTCTAATGTGATTCACTATGATAAGCAACAGGATTTGGGCCTTTGAATAAATTGGATCAAACCAGTTAGCCTACAGTATACCTGCTACTGTGAAACAGACAGCTTTTTGTGTGGGCTTGCTGCTGATCATATAGTTTGGCTTTGCCCTCCATTCACACTTGAGGTAGGATTTCTCCAGCTTTGACAGCTGTACTTGCTTAGCTGTGCATGGCAGCTTGCAACCATGTGCTGTTGTGACAAAAGAAGGTGCACAATTTTTGCAAGAAAATGGTTTGACTGTATCAGACTCACAGAGCTTCTTCACAAACTATGTAATTATATTTTTTCTCATGGGAAAAATCTGTCCCTCTTTTCCAAGCTAGGAATCTTTTGCAACACCAGGCAAAGAAGAGAGATTTTCTCCTGGGGTACCAGAAAGGAATTTGTTTTATCTTAAAATGTAGCTTTGTTGAATAGCAGATTGCCATTCATTTTATACAGCTAAAAAGAGCTGAGTATATTCACCATTGCTATATAAACTGTAGTGTTTTTGAATATATTTGAGTCTCAGTGGACACGTTTCCTTGTAAGTGATGAAAATCAGCTAGGCTACTAGTTTTTGCTACTATTATGGTGCCTTAACAGCTGTAACTTTTTTCTAGGGCCTCCTATCAGATTGATGGATGGTGAGAATAAAAAAGAAGGCCGTGTGGAGATTTTTATCAATGGCCAGTGGGGGACAATTTGTGATGATGGATGGTCTGATAAGGATGCAGTTGTAGTATGTCGCCAACTCGGCTACAAGTAAGAAAAGTTTTCCTGTTGTTCTCAAATATTTCTTTTGACTTTTCCAGATAATAAGATAAAGCTTGTGGCTCTCTCCTTTCATCCTGCTTTTCTTTTCTTTTCTTTAAAAAAAACACCTCAGTTCAGTTTCAAGATAGTATTTTACAACTCGCTGTGAAATAATATAGCCCTTCTGAATGGTCTGAAAAATACTTTCCCTATGGTAATATTCATGGAGCTTTATTCTAGTATGCTATGAATAGTTTTAAAACTTTCAAAGAGCTTCAGTGTTAATGGGTGTAGTAGAACAGAACTGTAAAGTGATTTGCATATTGATCATGGTTTGTGCTATTTTCTCCCAACCCTATATTCTCATACAACATGAATTTAGTGCTTTCTGGGCTCGTACCTTGAGATAAAATATAGTAACATCCAAATGCATTTCTAATATGAAAAATTATGATTTCCATAGTCTACATCAGTGGTTCTTAACCTTTGTTACTCAGATGCTTTTGAACTGCAACTCCCAGAAACCGCAGTCAGCACAGCTAGTGGTGAAGGCTTCTGGGAGTTGCAGTCCAAAACTCCTGAGAAACCCAAGGTTAAGAACCAGTGGTCTACATGACAGACCCATGAGACAAAGAGGCTAATTTTGCCTGAAACAATTACAGTGGTGCCTTGCATAGTGACGTTAATCCGTGCAGCAAAAATCGCTGCTAAGCGATTTCGTCACTATGCGATTTTAAAAAGTCCATAGAAATGCATTAAAACCTGTTTAATGCGTTCCCACGGGCAAAAAACTGACCTTAAAGCGAAGATCCTGTAAAGTGAGCAATCCGTCCAAAAACACAGCGGGGAGCCATTTTGAGCAGCCGGTGGCCATTTTGAAAACCCGACAATCAGCTGTTTTGATCGTCGTAATGTGAAGAATCGGTTCCTGAAGCAGGGAACCGATCATCGGGAAGCGAAAAAAACCCATTAAAACATCATTTTGCGATCGCAATTGCAATTGCAAAAACATAGTTGTGAAGCGGATTCATCATTATATGGGGTAATCGTTAAGCGTGGCACGACTGTAGTAGGATTTCACTTATTGAATCAAAGTCCTACAATGTAGCATATGACACAATCTGCACAACACTGAATTGTCCTCTGCCTTGTTTCCCCATTCTTTCTGTGACTTCAGGGCTTTTCAAGGAAGGCGAAAAAAACCCATTAAAACATCATTTTGCGATCGCAATTGCAATCACAAAAACATAGTCATGAAGCGGATTCATCATTATACAGGGTAATCGTTAAGCGTGGCACGAGTGTAGTAAGATTTCACTTATTGAATCAAAGTCCTACAGTGTAGCATATGACACAATCTGCACAACACTGAATTGTCCTCTGCCTTGTTTCCCCATTCTTTCTGTGACTTCAGGGCTTTTCAAGGAAGCATTGTAGCTGTCTTGAGCTCATTAGGGGAATGTCAGGATATAAATGTAGCTAATGAGTAATTAACACTCCTTGTTGTTGTTGTTTAGTAGTTAAGTCATGTCCAACTCTTTGTGACCCCATGGACCAAAGTATGCCAGGCCCTCCTGTCTTCCACTGCCTCCCAGAGTTGGGTCAAATTCATGTTGCTAGCTTTGGTGACCCTGTCCAACCATCTCATCCTCTGACGTCCCCTTCTCCTCTTGCCTTCACACTTTCCCAACATCAGGGTCTTTTCCAGGGAATCTTCTCTTCTCATGAGATGGCCAAAGTATTGGAGCCTCAGTTTCAGGAACACTTCTTACCCTAGCATAGAAAAAGAATTTATGGCAAAACACCTAGTAGCCTCAGTAGGCTTTTTTCAGTGCTTTCTCCTTTCTTCACAATACATCTGTTTATGTAGTCTATAGTTTCAGTCCTCTCTAGGAAAAACAATCTGACATCAACCAATCTCAGATATAGTGGCTTAGGTAGCAAATAAATCACAGCTTTGTAGGGACAGAGACAAGCATGAACTGAGGTATATAATTTCTTTAGCCAAAATCCATAGAGCTTCCTTGATACACCCAACACTTACATGCAGTGAGTGCGAATTCTCCTTTCTGAGCCACAATACTGAATGACATAACAGAAATTTCAAAAGCAGTTTGCTGTGCATTGTAGGTGTATTCTGTTTATTAGCTAAACTTAACATAAAACTAAATATGTAATTTCTATTTTAAAAAAATCTTGCCAAGTTTCTAGGTTCCCTATTCCCCATTGTCTTCAGATCTGGGATTGCACCCCAACTGTGGACCATGTTTTCTAGGTATATTTGTTGACATTTCTATTTTCTTTTACTTGAGGCTAAATCTGCCTTGTTCGGTATCAATACTATTTAAATTGATTTGTTTCAGTGGCTGACAGTCTTTTCCATTATATGTTTGTGGACTGTTTTGATTCCTCTCCATTGGTACTTCTGTTTTTGTGTTTGCTGTTGATACCTTAATTGGTGCCATACTGCATTCATAAGCTGTCTAGAGTAGCAGTCCCCACCCCCCTGCGCTCGCGTGGGGGTGCTCTCGGGCGCAGGTGCAAAGTGGTGGGGGAGCGCCCACCTGCCAGTGCCAATGGGCAGGCACTCCCCCACCCCTTCGCGCATGCACCCGCCCATCCCTTCACTTGGGCATATGTGTGAAGGGCTAGGGGAGCACTCACACTGGTATTGGCATATGCATGCGTGTGCAAAGCAGCTGTGGGGCGGGGAGTGCGTGCTGTGCAAAGCAGCTGTGGGGCGGGGAGTGCATGCGTGGGGGGTGGAAGGTCTGTCTCCATAGTCCGGTCCGGCTCAGGCCACAAACCAGCACAGGGCTGCGGACCGGGGGTTGACATCCTTTGGTCTAGAGTACAAAAGTGGTAGAAGATGATATATCAACATTTCACAGGGCTGCGGACCGGGGGTTGACAACCTTTGGTCTAGAGTACAAAAGTGGTAGATGATATATCGACATTCTAATTAAACAATGTCTAGTTGAACTTACTTGTGTACTGAGATAGCATCATTTTTCATCCCCCTCCCCCAATCCTTTACAAATCTGAATCTCTGCTGAGGTTGTAGCACTAACTATGTGGCTCGGTATTGTTTTATTTGGCTTTAGATTTTCTCTTGAAGACTATTGCAATGTATAGAGTCAGTGATGTGAGCAGGAATAGGAAAATGCCAAATGTTAGGACATGAGGAACTTCTATGAGACACTACAGATGTTAAGAGTGGAGGCTAAATATGTATGGGTGTTTGACATGTGGCTGTCTTGCATCACTGTAATGAATAATTTGACTTTGAGCTTTATAAATCTTACATTCAGTTGAGGTTGTAGTACTAACCATGTGGCTCAGTATTGTTTTATTTGGCTTTAGATTGTTTTTCTTGAAGTATGTGGATAGCCATTAGTATAGAGTCCATCAATGGAGACATATACTGGAATGGAAAAATGCTTATTGTAACTGTGACTGCCAAATGTGGCAACAAAATTTAAATGTTAAGATGACAGTATTGTAAAGAAATAAGCAAAGAACATGGAATGAAAAGGCTTGTTGATTAAGGTATAATTAACTGATTGCTACAATTGCTTACTAACATTTATAATTAAAACAGTAATATGAAGAGAATATACTTATTGTAATGTGAAAAACAATTTTCATATAAAATTGTTTATGAGTGAAGATATAACCAGCCACAGGAGCAACAGAAAGAACATGTGTGGATTCAAGACAATTTTCTGAATTAAATTTCAACACAAAACAAAACACAAAACAATCCCCGTTTCATTTTAAGATGCTTTACAATTGTGATGAGGGAAGATCTGATTACAATTTGGTTCTTAGTTGAAGTGCATTCAGAATGAGATGTTTTATTTGCTGCTGCTTTACTAATTTTGAAGGTTTAAGATTTGGTTATCTCAAATCCAACGTGCCATTAGCTTTTTACTTATCAGTAGAAGTATTTTGTTTACAGGGCTCTTTTTGCAGATTACACAGTATGATACTTGCAGTCACCGAAATGAGATTCAGTGGATGGAACAGAAGTCTACAAGAAGCTTTAATAACAAAGTTCTTGTTCTAGCTTGAATATCCTTAAGCCTTTACAAGAGACTGAATTACTTTTCTTACTGATTAACAGAGAAGATGGTAGAATATGGCTATATTTCTGAAGGGGTTAAATGGTCAGATGGTTTGGTTAAGTAACCTTCAGTTATGTTTTTCAAGCAATGCAGTGTTTGTTCCATAGGAACTAATTTCTTTATGGTACCTAAGGAAATTGCTGACTCTCGCAGGATGAATTTTGAAGATTTCTTAACTTTGGATTCCAGTGCTAAATATAATCTTAAAGCTGTATCCTGCACTTCATCACTGAATTGCACACCAAGTTCATCTATGGGGCAGGGGAGAATATCCATGAACATTTGTCAGGGCGTTGGACATTCCTTATGCTATCTGCAATCAGTATAATTGTTTACGGGGAGAAAATTCTTGGAACAAGAAGAGACAAGTCGTATGTAGCCAAAAAGTTAAAGAAACCACTCTAGGACTATTTGGTAAAGATTAACTTGGGGTTTCTTGGCACATATACCAAAATGTCTTATGGGCATTAAACACATTTATTATGGAATGAATGTGTAGTCTACTTCAGTAGATGCATCAAGTGCTATTCTGAAATACATATATGTATATATTTATGGCTGGATTAGGACGAACACAGGGACCTAGATTCAATAATTTAAAATATGCAGATGATACCGTTTTAATGGCAGAAAGCAGAAATGACTTGAAATGACCATTTGGGAAAGTGAAAGAAGAAAATTACAAAGCACACCTGCAGCTGACCATTAAAAAGACAAAAATTATGACTACAGGACTACACAACTTTAGCGTTGACAATGAAGAAATGTAAATTGTTAAGAGATTGTGTGCATATTGGTCTAGTCATCAATCCAAAGGGAGACTGCAGCCAAGAACTCAAAAGACTGAGCCTAGGAAGGGCAGCAATGAAGGAGTTAGAAAATATCAACTGTAAGGATGTGTCACACTGGAGACCAAGACCAAGATTGTCCACAAGTTTTTACTGAAAGCTGTACTGTAAAGAAAGCTGCCAGGAAAAATAAATCTGCTTACAAGTACAGATCTTGGTTTGTGATCAGGAAGAATGCTTTTCCATACACCTCTTAAGTAACACTTTGTAGTGGTGTCACAAGAAACTGCATAAAAGTGGCACTTTTCAACAAAGGAAGCAGAAATGATTTTGTGATTTGTTTTCTCAAAGGCTACTCAAAAATTAGCAAAGAAAATTAGCAAAACCAACAGGTTAATGGGTGTCTCACACAGTATTTATAAGAAGGCTGAATTTGTCAGTCTCAAATAAAAAAAACTAAATAGAACATCTGCATTTCACATTTAGGTGCTGAGGCTGGGAAATTTCCATAGAACTGTGTTTTATCCGCTTAGATTATGGGATATCCTAAGAGAGCATTACAGTTGTACACTAGCTTCCTGTATAGTGTTTTATACTATATCTTATAGTAAAGCTAGAATTGGCAAAGGCAGCAGACACATTTTGAAATTCTCTAGTTACCCAAACCTGGATTGGTGGAGATTTAGGCAATAAAATGTAATAACTGAATAATAATTTTCATAATTTTTATCAGAAAAGTTTGATAAAGATAGTGTTTAATGCAGTTGGCAACTGCATCAACAACACATGCTGGAACTTTGCAAGATCAATGAATTCACAATAGATTTGTTTTCTTTTTGATACCAGGGAAAGGAGTAGCTTACTATAAAAAAAATAAATAAAACATGTATCACACCTTCTCTTTACAACTAATAAACACTGAATTAATATTATATAATACCTAACTATCTGGGGACACAATTTAAAACAAAAATATTTAATGTGGCCATAGAAACAGTACAATGATGATAAAACATGCCTTATTCTTCAGTAACTGTGGTCTGATTTCCATGAACAGCAGTTGAGGTGAAAAAGCTGCTTCTCAGTTGCATGTCTTCATAGGGTGGGACCAAAGTGTGGAGATGGTAGACATGAGTAAATGATTCTCCTGATTACATTAAAATATATAGAATATCTGCATATAGAAAATTAGATGTTGGTGGAAGGATTTTGGTGAAGATGGTAGACATGAGTAAATGATTCTCCTTATTACATTAAATATATAGAATATCTGCATATAGAAAAATTAGATGTTGGTGGAAGGGTTTTGGTGAAATGCACTATTCTGGGCGGTTTATAACAATGAATAAAACGTGGTAATAAATGATAAATAAAAAATGAAAAATTAAAACATGTAACACGGTAAAAGCAAATGGTACCAAAGGCAAATTCTCTATATCGAGGTCGTCAACCTCTGGTCCGCGACCCGGTGCTAGTCTGTGGCCTGAGCAAAGACAGACCTCCTGCCCCTCCCGGAACGCGGCCCGGTGCTAGTCTGTGGCCTGAGCGAAGACAGACCTCCCACCCACCCCGGAAATGCACTCCCCTCCCCACAGCTGCTTTGTGCACATGTGTGTGTGCTAGTGTCGGCATGAGCGCTCCCCTACCCCTTCATGCATGCATCTGAGTGCCCATGCAAAGGGGTGGGTGGGCGTGCAGGTGCCTTTGCAGGTGCCCCTCTGCATGCGCTAAGGGGTGGGGGAGCACTCACGTCTGTGCTGGTGGGCAGGTGAGTGCTCCCCCACCACTTCACGCATGCGCCCGAGAGCACGTGCACACCCGTGTGCACCCACAGGGCCCCCTGCCTTCCTCGGAGGCTCAGTCGGTCCGGGGTCCCAATAAGGTTGGGGACCGCTGCTCTATATGATAGCAGGACAAGAGTTGTAAAATCTGGCAAGGTCAGTGCAGAAGGCCTCCTTGAAAAGTAACATTTTAAGTTGCCTTCTAAACATCAACAGGGAGGGGGCCAGGTGTATTTCCACCAGGAGTTAGTTCCACAAGGTCAGTTCCACTATGAAGAAGGTCTGGATCTCTTGTGGATGACCCTTCATCTGGGTCAGACAGATGAAATTGAGAAGAGATACTCTGAGAATGGTACTCTTGATTGTGAGTTGCCATATAACTTGAGTTAACTGTTTTTAACCCAGATTTTGCACTCATTTATTCCAATCACATGACCCAGAAGCATCTATGGTCTGCCTCTTAATTCTTGCTCATGACATATGAAGAAGCCAAACCATGCTCCTGAAATATTAGTGAACAGGATTCTGCTGACCAGCCAACTCTAGTACAGATCTCTCTTTTTTTAATGGAATAACATTTAAGCAGTTGGACCCCATCTGAATTCCAAAGTGTTTTATTATCCATTTTGATGTCAGTGTTAGCAACAGAATAAAATTATGATGGGTTTTTGTTGGATTTATCTTTAAATGACATATCCGCAGACCAGATTTGCAGCAAATGTAGTATAAGGACTTTTCCTTGTTTGAACCAGTTTAATTTTCCAGAAAAGAGAATGAGATATATTATTTTTAATTGCACAGCTGCTGATTTTATGCAAGGATTACATGGATTAAAGGGAGAAAATACAGCTTGCAGATCCCAGTATGTTGCATATAAACAACATTATTTTGGTAATCATTATAATGCAAAGATGTGGGATTCTTATATCACACAACACCAAGACTTGATGTGTTAGAATTGGGGACAGTGAGAGTCAGGGTGGGTGGGTGGTTCTGCCATTGGACTAGGTAGTCTTTAGATCCTAAAGCAGTGTCTTTTGCAAATTCTGTCTCATATATGTTTCATTTGAAATCACTATTATGGCACAAACATTTCTTCATGATGCAATCCCATGCCAAAGTGACAAATGAAGTGCATGACAGGGCTATTACACATGTGTCCCCACCGGATTTGTCTGCTTTTATTTCTCCTAGGCTGTGATCAGCTGGGAGAAATCCATTCAATTTACTTTTCTCATGCAGTTCCAATATTCAGACACAACTAGCAGGTAGTCTTTTGCCAGAAGGCAAAAACATTGAGTTTCATTCCAGTGCTTCCACTCATGTTGAACAAAATGGGGAGGGGAGTGATTCTCACAATTCCAGTCTGCCCCAATTCTGCACAACTACCTGTGATGTACAGAGGGATAACCAGCCAGTAGACTGTTGAGGTATATGGGTGGGTATTAGGAGGCTAGGAAAGGGGGAACATGGAAATAGTCATTTTTGTCTTTCCTTTTATGGAGTTCTTGGCTGAATCAAAGAGCTTGGATGACACAGCTGGATTGAGTTTACTGTTTTTTCATTCATTTTATTTATATTCTACCTTTATTTCAGTAAAGAAACTCAAGGCTTACATAATAGGTAAAGATAAATGCAGTAAACAAATAGAAAAATTGCATTATTAAAACACAATTAAACATACAATAGTATCACTATTTAATTAAAATTAAAAACAACTAAAGCACATTTTTAAAGTCTAAAAAATTCAGCATCCCCATTAAAGCCCCTGCCTTGACAGCCAGTCAGTTATAGAATTTCTCCCTGAACAGAAATGTGTTGGTTAGTTGACAGAAGGGCAATAGGGATGGGCCAACCTGACCTCTTTCGGGAGTGTGCACTGTAGCTTGGGAGCAACTATCACTCTCATGTCCTCACCAGTGCTTGTGAGGCAGGGTGGGACTGAGAGAAAAGCCTCCCCTGAACATGTTAAAACCCTAGTTCATAAAAGGAAACAAAATCATAAGAAAAGCCTCCCCTGAACATGTTAAAACCTGGGCCTGTTCATAAAAGGAAACAAAATCATCATTCATAATCAACATTAATAAACATTAAAACATAACCATATTTTCTGTTGAAAGGGAATTCCTCACTTTCCCTCTGACATGTACAGAGAGATATCATTGCTGAAATCTAGGGTGGATGTGATTTAAAATTTAAAAAATCACTAATTAGTGACTATTATAGTTATCAACGGATAACATTAAAGATTCTGGCCAGTATCCCATTGAGCTTCCACTTAGTGGAATATTCAGGCAGCACAGTATTGTGGGATCATGCCACTTGTACAACTACAGCAGCTGTAAAGCAGAGGGTGGATTTTCTTTGCGGAGATCACCACTTGTGCAAAAACTATGGTGCAATCAGTGCAACCCTACATTTACTGCATTTACACTGAAAGGATATCCTGCTCAGTGTAAATTCAATAGGATGTTGGCCTCTATATGTTGAAGCTTTCTGTTTTTCATTACTATAATGTATTCATGAAAAATCTGTTCCTAGAGGTCCAGCAAGAGCAAGGACGATGGCTTATTTTGGAGAAGGAAAAGGACCCATTCATGTAGACAATGTGAAATGTACTGGAAATGAACGATCCTTAGCTGACTGCATTAAACAGGACATTGGGAAGCACAACTGTCGTCACAGCGAAGATGCTGGTGTGATATGTGACTATCTGAGCAAGAAGACATCTGGTAATAGTAATAAAGGTAAAATGGGTACGATTCCTGTGAATGCTGAAAAGAGAAGGAAATGTGGTGAAAATAGACATATTAAGGGGGAAGGGTGGTTTCAGAAAAACTGGAGTAAGAGGTAATTGCCCAAGACAATAGAAGTAAGAGCTATTTCTGATGGGAGAATTTAATCTCTGTGATTCTGTCCTTGTTCAGATTCTCTTGCTTCCGTGTGTGGTTTGAGATTACTGCATCGTCGGCAGAAGCGAATCATTGGAGGGAAAAATTCTTTAAGGTAAATTGTATTTAGCAAATATAAGTGCAACTACACACACCCGTCACCTTGTGTTCAAAACCATAGTCCCTTTTCTTGTCCACGTGACTGAGTAAAGCCTTAAAATACAGCATTACCAAATAAGCATGCTCGATGCCTGATGACATATACAAACACATTTGTATGTGTCATATACAAACACATTTGTATGTGTATGAGAGCTTTATGCAATTCATGCTTACCTAAGGTGAGTCATTAAATGCATTCATGTCATTGAGATTGAATACTTTTAATCATAGATTAATATCTTTGAGCTTGCTTTTTACTGAATGCAATGCAAATAGTAAAACATTTTGTTAATATAGAAAGTGCAAGGGTCAATCAAATTTCATGACAAAACATGAAAAATCTTGCAGAAGGGATTACTGTATATATACAGTATTCCCTATATTTATTTGCTATGTCATAGTGATGATACCTGGATGACCTTTGCACTCTCCTGCCCTCTTTGCAGAAGAGAATGAGCTGAAATGTAGGCCATGAGCAATCTGTGAACTCTCCTAATCATTTGCAATTACAGTGGTGCCTCGCTTAACGAGTGCACCGTTTAACAACGAATCCGCATAGCGATTTTTTAAGATCGCTAATGCGATCGCATTGCAATGTTTTAATGGGCAAAACATCGCATTGCGATCTTCGCATTTCGATGTTTCTAAAGCAGCTGATCGGCGGTTCCAAAATAGCCGCCGGGTGCCCAAAATGGCCACTGCAGCCATTTTCGCGTGGTTTCCTCGCTTACCGAGGGCGCGAAAATGGCAGTGCTATGGAGGATCTTCGCTGAACTGTGAGTTTGAGCCCCATAGGAACGCATTAAACAAAGTTTAATGCGTTCCTATGGGTTTTTCCATTCCGTTTAGCGATGTTTCCGTTCCGTTTAGCGATGTTTCCACATAGCGACGATTAATCCGGAACGGATTAACATCGCTATGCGGGGCACCACTGTATTTGCTTCTGTGATATTTCCTCTCCTTTCCTTTCAGAAGCTCATGAAAAAAATTATTGAGCAGAATAAAACAAAATACCATAAAATGGTTCAGTTATCTTGACGACTGAACAGCACAACAAATTTAGCAGTTGCCAAAATGAGGACATTATATGAATTGCAATTTAATTTCCTTAGTGGTTTATGATTATTTCCTTAGGAATTCGTTTATTTTCAAATTTAATTCATATCCAGTTTTTCATTGTTTTCAGTGAGGGCCCATTCTGTCTTCTTCTACCAGTAGCATTGACATTTTTGTTCCAAATAGCATAACATTTGCAACATATTTTGCTATTCCTAGGCATTTCACCTTCAAATTCAGTTGCTTTAAAGTAAAACTTTGGTTTATTGATTACAGAGATTCATAAATATCTTCAGTAGTTAATCACATCTAAATTTCCCAAACTACACATTCTCTTGCACCCCTGACTCTACTCTCAGTGACTCAATCTGACTTAAACTCACTTCATCTCATACTCTCTGACTGAAATATTGACTCAGGCTCCGCCTCTTATAGCATCTGTCTCGGCTCCGCCTCTCTGCAATATTAATATTCATAAATCATTATATTACATAACATAGACCATAGATCAAATAAATAGAGAATGCTAAAAGTGGTACTTCAGTAAATCAAATAAAGATTTAATAAAATGCTATCTTGCAGTTGCATAAAAAGGGCAAAAGCACAATACATTGGTGCCCCACTTGACGATTACCCCGTTAGATGATGAAATCGCTTGATGACGAGTTCTTTGTGATTGCAAAACGATGATTCCAATGGGTTTTTTTTCGTTTTACGACAA